AAAAAAAAAAAAAAAAATACATCTGCCTCATCAGCAAACATATAACATCATATAACCCTAACACCCAGTGGAGTCAGGGGGAAACGCGGTGGGGACAAGAACGAAAGTTAAGGCCCAAAAGTCCTGGTCGGATGGGTGGGTCTAACAACCACCGACTTTCACCCAGGAGGGCAGTGTTCGATTCCCGTGAGATTGAAAAACAAAACCCTGTTCTTTTTTCCTAAACCCAACCGTGTGTGTGTTGACAGAATGTAACCATGTGTGTTTGTTACTGGAAAAAATGTCAATTTGCAGTGTTGTACTGACGTAGTGCAATTAAGAGTCTGTATGCAAACTTTACATTTCCTGTGAAACCAGAAGTGTATTTGAAAAAAGACAATGCATGTAACAGGCTGAAGTTGACATTGTGTCCCAGAACGTCAACAACCAATGCACTCGGGGTACCTTGCATGTTGTATCTGGATGTGGAAAGTCCATGACTAAACGTCGATATGTGACAAGGTCGGAGTGAGAATGTGTTGGCTGCAGGGGATTTTTTTCTGCAACACCATGAATGACCACTGGGAAAAATTTGCTAGAAGGCTGAGCAGTGTCTGGGGGCCTGACTAGGAGTCCAGATCAGGCGCCCAGGCTTTTAAGTCAATTTCTGTAATGGCCAAACAGTAGAATAAAAACTCCCGAGCCAGTCACATGATGCCATGCAGCCCAAAAAAACTTTCTTCCCATTGACTTACATTGGGAAAGTGATGTCTTTAAATCAGTGAATACATTTTTTTTGAGTGTGACTTGACTTGTTTTACTATCAGGACTTAATCAGTTTGGTCTGATAACATTTAGAAAATCTAGAAAAGCTGCAAGATTAAATCTTTCTTATCCCCATTCAAGGTACTGGAGTGCTAAACTGGAAGTAGCTGGCATGCTTGGTCAAAGTCTCTACTGCGCCTGCTCTTTGGGCCCAATGATGCTGAATCAGCACAGATCATCCAAGTAATTTCATACAGCGTAAATAAAGATTTTATGGCTATCTGTGCCACTAAGCACCTGTCATTGGAATGAACAGGGTCTGGCCTCTAATGCTGTATCCAGGTCTTAATACATCCATTTAACAGCTGCGGAGACAGACCCTCAGTCGGCTTGAAATCAGCTTGCGCATGTCAAAAGCTACATACAGAAATGTTCAGTGTGATCCTGGCCTTTGTTTTAAGTGTCGCATTATAGAACACATTCTGACACATCATTCATTCACCACCAATTGATCTTTCAAAATGACACCTTGTCATCTTAAGAGAACTGAGTGATCACTTTGCAGTGACAGCTAGCGCTGACTGATCTGACTCGCCTCAAACTCCACTTTTTTGTCTTATATTTGGAAACAAATCCACCTCGTCAGACTGCTCACTTTTTCTGTCGCTGATTAGATCCACAGCAACAACCCAACAAGCTCTCTCTGTCTTCAGCCTGGTTGTTTTATATTTAGCCATGATGGCAGCAGCCTTGGTTGCTAGGAGATCTCTGATGCAACTACAAAGGCTCTTTAGAGAGGAAACAAAATACTCCTGGCAGCCAAGAATGATCATGCATTATAGAGAGGTGCTGCAACAAAATGAAAGCGACGGAGGAGAAGTTTGAGAAGATGTTTTCTTAATGAAGTTCGGGTAGCAGAAAATGAGTCACCCTGCTGCTGCGCACGGCTCCGTTGTGGTAAATGGGCGAGCTGCCGGCTGAAGCGTTGTAGTAGGAGGAAGTGGCGTGGACCAGCGGCCTCTTGGCTTTCTCTTTGCTGCCGTTGGAGTCATTGTCTTTGATGATGTCATACTGTCGGCAGAAGAGGGCGATGACAGCTGGGGAGGAAGGTGACAAAGTAAAACATCAAAAACAAGTGAACAAGCAAACACATTCATTTTTAATAATACTGAGATTTAGACAAAACAAAGCATTGTGAAGGTGTCACTGTGGGTAACTGTGATGATATTCCAGCAACTAATCAGCAGATTTATGCAGAATAATATTAATAATTAAAGCTGGGCTAGGCAGAAAAGAAAAAGAAAGACTTTCATAATGCACCCAGTAATGCCAGAATTACAGTGTCAAGCAACATTTTCAATACTTTCACTTGTACCAAAGTACTTTTACTAATGTAAAGGATGTGAATATTTCCTCCACCTCTGACAAACACCCACACACGTTGAAGCTGACCTGCCCACAGCAGCAGCACAGTGGTGATAATGAGCAGCTCTCCTGTCTGTAAGTGAGGAGTCATGCCAAGACCTTCCATCGCCGGTTCGTCTGAGGACAAATAAAGACTCAGTGTTGGCAAACTTTATCAACAAGGACAAAAAAAACATCCTCAAAGAGGACAGTAGTATAGTTTCAGAGCTCCACTAGCTGCTAAATAAACTACTGTATTAACTACTAAAAAAGACATAAATACAAATGACAGTTAATGAGAGGTGCTGTAAGTAGTGCAAATAAAAACAGGCAATACATATGAGAAAAAAAAAATCATGTCAAAAATATCTGTGGATTTTGTACAGTTGGACAGGGCCAGGCTAGCTGTTTCTCCTTGTTTTTAGCTAAGCTAACTGGCTGTAGCTCCAACTTAAGCATTCAGATATGAAAGTTGTATCTACAGAAGCTGAGAATGGCTGTGCTTCTGATTATTTCTTAAAAGCCGTTATCTTGAGAAGTTAGTTAATTAATTTTGTTATCTGGAGAAAATGCATTCATTATCTTGTTATCTCGAAACAAAAAATTTTGTTCCTTGAGATAACGAGTTAATAAATTTATTATCTCAAGAAAAACATTTGAGTTACCTGACAAAACAAGTTTATTATTTCATTAACATTTCATTGTAGATCTTTAAGATAATGAGTTAGTTATTTCATTACCTTAAGAAAAGGATTTGTGTTCCCTGAGATAACAAAATAATTATTTCATTATCTTGAGGAAAAGGGTTTTGTTTCTGAGATAACGAGTTAAAAATTATTGCATTATCTTAAGAAAAACCTTTTTATTCCCTGGGATAATGACTTGATGATTGTCTCATTATCTTGATAAAAAATGTTTTTGTAAAATAACCATTTAATTATTTTATTATCTGGAATAAAAGATTTTTATTTCCTGAGATAACAATTATTTCATAACCTTGAGAGAAAAATTTATGTTCTCTGAGATAAAATGTCAGTTATTTAATTATCTTGACTTTAATTCTTTGAGATTCTCTGACATAACTGTAATTTCATTATCTCAAGAACACGAGCTTTATTGTCTTGAGATACCAAGTTTATCATTTAATTATCTCTAGATAACGAAGCTTGTTTTCTCATGAGATAACAAAGATTCAACTCGAGATTATGGCATAAGAAAACATAATTGGAAGCATGGCTGTTCTTCGCTTCTGTAGATCAATGTTCTCATCCAATTTTCAGCAAGAAAGCCAATTAGCATCACACTGTTACTTTAATTATTTGTTAACTTAATTAGCAAGGTCAAGAAGATGATTGCAGTAATATACAAAGTATTTTTTAGTTCAAATTAAGACAGTAGTAGATTGATGGAAGGAGGTTTTTGGTGGTTTAACTTGCACCCTACCCTTACCCTTGTTCTTACTCCTAAAAGTGCACATTTCTGAGTGATAAACTGAGTCAAGGTGTTGGAAAATCTGCTTTTAAAAAAAGTAATAAGTTAAGTAAAATATATGTGTAATGTGCGTGTGTTTATTTACGGTGATCCAGGACTCCAGCTGGATAATGGTCACTCCTCTCCAAAGTCCTGAAGTGGATGGCACGGCTGGGCTGGCTGTCACCATGTGGCCCAACAGACTGCACCTAAACCCCCCAACAAAAGTTTATTTAAGTGAAACTATGAAGTACTCCTCATATGCTTAAGGAAGGTTGGACGCAGCCGTAGTTCTGCACAGCTGAATGCTGGGTACAGTCCCAGATGACATTAACGGAGGATGACATTATGTAACGATGACAAGAAACTGGCTGGCGAGGGTATATTTAGCGAGCAAATGGTGCTTTGGTTTTTGGCTGGGATCCTGAATGATTGTTGGAGGACGAGTGCGGTGCTGTAGATGTAGAAGCAGACTGAAAGCTTGGAAAACAAAGGAGGGAGTATAGATTTCGGCTAAAGACTTATCTGGGGACATTTTCAGCAAACAAGCAAAGAATCCAAAAATGAAGAGAGAAATAAACAAATTTGTTGTTGTGTTTCTCACTCAAATACAAGATATTTCTCACAGCTACAGTGGATAGCAGAAAGTGTTAAGTTCAAGCATTATACAGGGAGAGAAATCCATCACCAGCACAATTACATACAAGAGGTCTAGCTGTGCCTCCACCTACACACTAAACCCAAAGGTTAAATGCAACGAGTTTTCTGTAGAGGTTGCTGCAAGTCATTCTAGGAAAATGACTGACTGAGGCAGAATTGGGTACAAAACAAAAGTCAATTACAACACTTTATCACAAAATACGTCCCTACATTAATGTGAAAGTATCCTAAAGTTTGAGCTCTGCAAATCCCTTCACTAAACTCCACAGACAAATTATCTTATTTTCCCATCCTTTGTTCTACAGGAAGGTCAGAGGTGAAAAGATCAAATCTCCACCCTCCGGGTGCTGGCGAGGCTTCAGTGCATTGCTCAATGAGACTTCTGCAGGACACCCGCCTGCTGACAAGCATATTTAACTGCGTCCGCCAGCTGAAGGACAATCTATATCAGTCTATTAAGCTATAATGGATTATAAAAAGTTTAATAGAGTCATGATAATGAAGTCACATTAGACGCTCCTCCTTCAGAGAGAAGCTGGAGTTTGTGCTGGCATTTGATTTAAGAAACTTTGAGCTGTAATAACGTCATAAAAAAGTGTGTCCATTATATACTGAGAGGAAGCTAATAAGAATAAAAATGAATTTTCAAAATTAAGTTCATCATCAGTGAAGTTCCTCAATTAAAGCTGCACTTCATATCTTTTTCTCATCACCAAATCTCCAGAAAAAAAATGTTGGTGTTGTATGTTAATGCAAACCATTGATACATTAAAACTTTACCTTCCAACAGAACACTGTGATTACTGTGCTTAGGTTAAGGCACAAAAACCACTTGGTTATGGTTCGGAAAAGATCATGTTTTTACTTTTTGGCTTTAGGGGGCACAATGCCCGCTGGAAACACAGCGATGTCTCTGTAAAAAAACAAGTGCTTTTCGTGGCACTATCCTTGGTGCAAAAATGTCTTGGTGTCAAAACAACCCTTTTTTGTGGCACTATCCCAACAGGAAATGCAGCAATGTCTTAACTTAAATATAAGCACTTTAGGTGGCACTACCCCAGCAGGAAATGCAGCGATGTCATGGTATAAAATAATGATGCCGCCATCCTGGCAGGAAATGCAGTGATGTCTTGAGAAAAAAAACAACAGCTTTTTGGGTCATTATCTGGCAGGAAATGCAATGATGTCTCTATAAAAAACAACCGCTTTTTGTGCCCCTATACCAGTAGGAAATGCAGAGATGTCTCTGTAAAACACAACCACTTTTCATGGCACTATCTTGGCAGGAAGGCAGCGATGTCTGGAGAATGAACAACTGCTTTTCAAGTCATTTTTCCAGCAAAAAACACAGCAATGTCTCTGTACAAAAACAATGGCTTTTAGTGTCTAAAAAGCTGCCAGAGCAACAGCAATGACACACTAAATCACAACCAGTTTTATTGTTTGTTAGTCTCAAACAGTGGTATCAATGGTGTCCATGCCATTCAACATCCCCTCCACCTCCAGATGACAAACTCAGGTCATGTCAATTTAGAGGCGTTGCTATGATACGAATGAAATGTACAAATGTAATGTAATGGTTTGCAGAGACTTACAATGCCAAAATTTTCTTCTGGAGACTGGGCTGCTCACTGCAATGTTTTTACAACTTCAACAAACAATTCTTACCTGAAGTACCCCTGCTAGAAAGGTTTCAATGGCACCTCACAGTCATCCTCAGTGTGTGTGTGTGTGTGTGTGTGTGTGTCTGCGTGTGCCTCACCTGGACGCTGTAGTGTGTGTCCTCGTCCAGGTCCCACAGCACGCACCAGCGGCTGGACGTGTTCACCTCGCGGATGGAGCGCTGCATCTGGCCATCCTGCCTCTGGAGAGGAGACACGTGCAAACACAGGACATATGTTATAAGCCCGCTTCACCATCGTGGCTAATTTAACAATTTTATTTCACAATTTCAAGACAGACGTTATGAATGCAAATAAAATCCCCCCTCTGTAATGAGCAGCTTCGCTCCACTCATATAAATTCAGCTCAAACACTGACTGTCCCACGGGGGAGAATAAGGTCTGCAGGCAAGGTAACACGAGCAATCATCCTGTGGAGGAAACAGAGCCAGAGATACTCTACTCTGTGCAAAAAGCAGTCTTTATGACAGAATACATGACCATCAACTCCCCATAGTTCATGGATAAACTGACTTGAAAAAATGTCTTTAAATTTCTGGCAAAAGCATGAGCTTATTTTCTTATTTTGCAAACCGTACCATACACAGCAAATGGAAAAACAATGAGAGAGATTCATTAAAATCCACTTATCATCACCTTTATCAGTAGAATTGGGGGAATGTCTTCTCGTAAATGCTCCAGCATGTTCACCAGCTTGTCTCTAACTGTGTCTGTCTGCTGTTTGATGCTGAGCAGGAAGTGAACAGTGGATTTTAAGAGCTTTTTAACTGAAAACAGCTGCCTGCTGTGGCTGAAAAAGGGTGCTATGGGAGCAATGAGAGTGAACCAAAACAGTAAAACCAAAGTAATGAGACAACAATGCTATAAAGCTTTGTGGAGCTGAGGATGATTTTCTCAGTGGGTTTGTCTCTAAGAGCGACACAATCACATACAAGTAGACATGTTTACATATAAAAATATTAATCATCGCTGCTTTAAGACTCATCTCTGGACAAAACTACTGAAATAATGTGGCTGTAATCTTATTTTAGAGATAATTCCAGTAGGTACTGTACAAGGGATTTACCTGAATCCCAATATTCAGAAAAGCACTAATAATGAGATGGAAACAGATATTTATTCTACCCGAAGCTTGTTGTTAATCAGGGAAAAAAAGTCATGACTGACATGTCTGTCTGAATCGATTCATATAGAATCTGCAGTTTTAGCTGTATGTACATATTCTCTTTATTAACAAAAAAATAAAATAAAATTTGACTTTGTATTTCAGTCAATATGATCAGCCGCAGGTTTCAAAGACTTTTGACTTAGCATCCACAAACACCCTACCAAGTACTCCATGGTGATAGATGGAAATCAAAAGAACTGGGACATAAATGTGGCATTAGGACAGAAAAAGTCCCCTGAAATAAATAAAAGTAGTCATTTGAAAAAAACATCCTTTAAAAAAAAAAAAACTCTCTCTCTCTCTCTCTCTCTTTCTATTCCATGAGCATATTTATTTATTATTTTTTAATGAACTATAATGCCATATTTATGCATTTCTATTTGTATTTATTAATTTATTACATAGGCTTATTTATTTATTTTAGGATTTATTTCATGGCCATATTTATTAATTCATTCCACAGCCTAATTTATTTATTAATTTAATATCCTATTAGTTACAGAAGCATATTTATTTACTTTTTATTTATTCCATAGCCATACTTATGTATTCATATATTTATTGGACTAATGACTAATTTATATGTTCATATTAACATTTATATTTATTTCCTAAATTATTTATTTTAGGATTATTTCATAGCCATATTCATTTATCTATTTATTCCAAAGGCTTATTTATTTTATTTTATTTTATTTTTTATTTGTTACATAGGCATATTAATTGCTTTAATACTGACTCAAATGTCATTCCATAGTGGTGGAGTTTCAGACAGTTAGACAGTTAAACTAAGTTAAGTTAAAAATAAAAACTGAAAGCTAAAGAGAGCGGTATGTGAATACTTCAGTAAGAGGGTGTACAAATATATTTCATAACAATTATATGATGTTAATAAAACAATTTGATGCTTTGGAGGCACAATTTCATTGCCAGTGAATATTTTCCTTGGAGATAAAATATAATACAATACAATACATTTGCCTGATTTAACGTGATTTTGTGTATAAACCACACCCACTTCTGGTTGTCTATCTGAAAACAGAGACAGATCATTTTGTTGGCTGAACAGATACAGATAATGACGTCTCTGTACTATGTACCTCTACTAGGTACTAAGGCTAAATGCTTTATTAAAACTTGCTTATTTCAAAGATTAAGATTCAGTTATTCTAGACTAATTACACAGTGGTATAATGATACATTCAGATAACATTTTGTTCTTTGTTTTGTTTTGTTTTGTTACTCTAATTACCCACCAGCTTAGCATCAGAACAACTGCTGTAGGGAGGACTTTCTAAAAATCCACATTATGGTAGGCAAAACATTTATCTGAACAACCTGTTGTGTTCCACTAGATAAAGGTCTTCGATCCAGCCAGTAGTGGGTGTTAAAGTCCAGCTCAGAATGAGACACAAGTTTCCCAGTAAGTAAAAGTACTGAAAGCTGAGAAAGAGTCAGTAAATAAGAAGTCTGGCAGAACGCTCGAGGCTCTCCAGATGTCTGAATCACCAGAGACTCAGCAGAGTCAGAGTGTCTCCAGCTCCTCTGGCAGATGGTTTTATTGTCCCTCAGCACTAAAAGACATTAATATATAATAAATCTTTATGGAGGCTAAAAGGATTGTTAATCAATAACTGTGACTCAGCTGCATCATTCTCTGATTTCGAACTAAAAATCCTTTAAATTAAAACTGCTGGAGCCTTAAAACTGTGTATCTGTCAGAGCTCCAACTGAAAAAAGTAAATGCTGCGTTATTGGTGTACTAAATCTACATGTATATTTTACCTTAAGTAGGCGTGATACTGGGCTTCACTGCTTTATCTTTGGCTGTTTGTAATGTATTTTTAGGAGTGTAATAACAGTAAGTATTAACATTAAATGTTTTTCAGCAGTGAGCAGTGCCTGCCCACAGTCCACAGGGAAGGACAACCTGTATACATAAAAGACTATTAAATCCTTGCTGCTGCTCTGTCAGCTTAATTTCTGCAGGTGCCTGGAAAAAACAGAATTTTTACCTCAGTTTCATGAGTATATTTGTTAATAAATTGCACATTTTTTGCATTTCCACCAACCAAACTTGCTTCTTTGATGTTCCCCTTAAAGGGTAACTTTGGTATTTGTAAAACTGGGACCTATTTTCTCATGTTAGTCTCTTAAAACATTATTGAAAGGATCCCTACAGGGATAGACCTTTTTATTAAAGATTAAGATCATTTTTGTTTAACCAGAAACAGCCCCAATATTGCCATCACCATACCAACCAGACTCCATTTAAATATCAATAATTTTAGAGTGCAAAGAGGCAGCATATATATTTCACATCTAACTGGATGAATGAAGGGTTTATTTCAACCAAACCAGACTTAGTCATTGTTGGAACAGTGCAAAGACAATACGGTTTCTGTGAGTTTTATTTTGTTTCTGTCGACTTTGAATGAAGTGTGTTTTATAATGATAAAATTATTGTTTATTTAAATGGAGTTTGGTGGGTTTGGCAATGGCAATTTCATGGCTGTTACTGGTTGAACAAAAATTATGCTCAATTGCTCATAAACGTTACATTGCAGCCTGTTTCACCACTGCCAGCTGTAGCACTCTTGCACAATACTGGACCTCTTTCAAAAATGGTTGTCCCCATTACTCAGTTAGAACCAAAGCATGGGAATATAGGGTCAGTGTTGAAAAATACCAAAGTTACCCTTTAAAGTTTCCAATCCAAACAACATCTGACCTTTATACACCAATTAGCCAAAACTTAAAACCACTGACAGTTAACGTGATCAATGATCATCTTGTTACATTGCAGTCCTGCTGGGAGACCTTGAGTCTTGGCATTCATGTGGATGACACTTGGTAGCCTACACACCATCCACCTAAACACCATTTAAGACCAAGTACACCCCCTCGTGGCAACAGCTCTCCCTGATGGCAGTGCCCACCGCAGCAGGACAATACACCATGCCACATCACAAAAAAACGTTAAGGAATGGCCAGAGGAACATGACAAAGAGCTCAAGGCAAAGACCTGGCCTCCAGACTCCCCAGATCCCAGTCTAACTAACATCCATCGGATGTGCTGGTACGTACTTGGATTGGATTTGGCTCTGACCCCTGGAGGAATGTACACAGGACCTCTGGGGTCGTCCCTTGGTGTCTGGAATCGGAGTGTTGGCGCCAGATCCTTTGAGTCCTGTTGGTTGTGAGGTGGGGTACCGGCACCGCTTTGTCACATTCCTCGAGCCATTCCTGAGCAGGTTTTGTGGCATGGCATGGTGCATTGTCCTGCTGGGAAGGGGGGCACTGGCATCAGGGAGTGCTGTTGCCATGAAGGGGTGGAGCATGCCAGGTGGCATCAATATGACTGCAGGACCTCAGGTTTCCCAGCAGAACATTGCATTGTAATGAGATGATCAATGTTATTCACCTGTCAGTGGTTTTAATGTTATGGCTGATTGGTGTAAGCCTTAGAAACAGTAAGACAAATACCTTATGTAATTGTCATCAAACTGAAAGTAAGGGAGACGTGTCCTCATCATCTCCAGTGGAAACTATGCTATCTACATTTGCTGTCAGTACTAAAAAGTCTCCTAGAAAGATGAATTGTGATAAAACCAATAAAGTACTTTACTATAGTGGCAAATGTTTTTCTCATTCTCTAAAAGAGAACATAAAACCAAACATGAAAGGATAAACTTGCTGGAACAAAGGTTTTGTAAGGTCTTTGATTCTTATGGCTGCAGGTGGTGATGACATATTCCACAAAGAAAAGATGGTTTGACATGAAAAAGCAAAAATTCAATAAGAAAACTGGAGTTAAGCTCTGAGCTCTGCTGGTTATGGTTTAATTGAGACAAGTGGAAGCCTTAGAGGCTTTTCAAAGGGTTGTAAAATGTGTCTTCTGTGAGGACCCTGACCCTGAAATCTACAGGTGAAGACAAAGTTTGATTACACAGCTATTTTTACGTGAATAAAGTAGCTTAACACCCTTTCACCAGTGAAAAGCCACAGATAAAC